ACAGTGGTCCCTGGACGCAGGCCCTGCCTCACCTAAAGCCCTGGGAACAAGAGGAGCTTTTTCATGTTGTGGAGAAGCCTGGGAGGGGTTTACCTTGGAGAACTCAGCACAAACAACTTAACACTTCCCCCGGGGGCATTTCAGTTCTCCCCAAGTCCCCCCTGCTCCCACCATGGCCCCACAGGGCGGCCTGACCTTGCCCGCTCCCTCCCCTCGCCGCCTGGCCTTGCAGCTCACCTGATGTCTGGTCTCTCAAGAGCAGGAGACCCTCACCCTCTTCTATAGAATGGGGCTCTAGCGCCCCTCCGACCTCTGGGCCCCACCTGTTCCCGCCCCTGGGCTCCAGGCACCCACCCTCCTTAGCCAGGGGGGGTAACCGCCACCTTTTGTAACTTGAGACCGCCCTGAAGGTAAGGCCCCTCCCCACGGGGCTTATTAACCCACTTCTTCCAAACAAACCCTCGGAGTCTGTTCCCAGTGGGATTCTCGTACCATCTGCTGGCGGAGCCCAGGTTTCTCCATCTCCTTAGTTTCTGGAACCTTCAGGAGGCGGGAGTTCTAGGAAGACTGAATCAGGACCCCAAGAGTGTACTCAGAGGGGGCTGAGTGTCCCAAGAAGAGGACCAGCCTCCTGACTCAGGCTCCGTCACAGGGTGAATATTGGTTGTGGATTCTGTGGGCAGAGCAGCAGAGTTCTAGAAAACTCCAGACCTACACAAGAGCAGCCACGAGAGGCCTCAGACTGGCCAGAGAGCAGTGGCCACACTGAGGTGGCAGCAGCTAAGCAGTGAGCACCGTGCCTAGTGCCCATCCCATCAGGGGTGGAGAGAGGGGACGCTTGAGGACTTTGTGAGATTCCAGAGTGATTGCCTGAGCTGGGCGGTGCACAGGATCCTGAGCCAGACTGAGTGGACTGGGGTCCCAAATTCCAAGGATGTCAGGTTGGGGCATTTGGAGTGAGCATTTGAGGGCCTAGCCAGGCCCTGAGCTGAGCCTCGACTGCCCACCAGGGCCTGTCCAAAGAGTTAGTGAAAAGCAGAAAGGTGTTCTGCATGTTGGGAGCTCTCCCCACCTTCTGCTTCCCTCTCGAGGGCCAAACATGGGTCATGAGTCCCACCGGGCTGCAAGGGAGCCTGGGAAATGTGTTCTTTTGCTGAGCAGGTCGCTAGGTTGAATGAAAGTGGGTTCTGACACCAAGGACAAAGGTCTAGGCAGCTGAGCGGCTCCCAGTCTGCTCCTAGAGTCCTTCATGAGTGAGTAGTGTGTGTGTTAGAGAAGCAAAATGCTCAGACACCCATGTGTGTAGAAGAAAAAGCTTTTTTTTTTTGAAAAAAATCATTTTATT